AAGTGTCACTAAATAATTGCTCAGTCAATATACATATATGTGATAAGAATAACGATTATTAAAATGTTATAAGGGGTAGAGTTGAAGTGGATAAATTACAAAATTATTAAAGATTGTTTTATAAGTGAATTGAGCTGTTTATATTGGACGTTGTAAGCGTAATCTCCGAAAACGTGTAGCTGAACACTATCCAGTCTGGTTAATGAAAGGCGAACGTAGAACTGCGAAGTCGTCTATCTGTGATCACCTGTTAGAGTCTGGTCATTCAGCCCCACGTGATTCATCTTTCAAAGTTATCTTCATGGCAAAATCGAATCGATCCAAAAGTTTACGTTTTCTTCACTTATGCATAGCCGAAACAGAAACCTAAATTATGTGTTCAAAAACGTTTTGTCAAACCCCTTTCTTTACCTTGGCCATAGTAATGTTCTTTCTAGTTTCTACTTTATTTTATTTTACCACCTTAATTCTTTCCACTTCACTTCACATCTTCATTCTTATCGTAACCGTACTCCTAATTTTTAAAATTTTTGGACAACACTTAACATTTTAAAAAAGTTTTTGATATCAATTCACTGATAAAACAATCTTTAATAATTTTGTAATTTATCCACTTCAACTCTACCCCTTATAACATTTTAATAATCGTTATTCTTATCACATATATGTATATTGACTGAGCAATTATTTAGTGACACTTAATGACCTTTTCTGTAATATAAATACGACTGTACAGCTTGAAAATGAAGTCGTTGAAAAGAAATTTCTTCGCTGAACAAAAACTGTGTTTTTACTTATGGATAATTAAGTTTAAATAACTTTGGCTAGAAAATAAGCAAAAAAAAGAAAAACAGAGATCACTGCAAACTAAAGCCCGAGGCCACCGCCACCTTCATCAAACAGTCATCAATGCGCATACATGAAGCTATGTGTGTAGCTGCTATGGCATCTAGGCAACGAAGAACGATTGATGAGAGAGTTTGTCAACAGTCTGCACATACTCATTGTCGACAACAACACTGACAACATAAGCAGCCAAAAGCTAAGCAAATAAATGTATGCATAAACAAAGCTATGATGCTTCCACTGGTATGATTTCTATGAAATTTAATTCTGATAAGCTTTAACCTTCTTTGTATTACGTGCAGGCATGATTTATAAGCAGAGAAGTATATATATATATATGTATATGGGGAAATGGGATAATGTTGAGACAAGAAAGGAGGTGGGGGCTGGGTGGTACTTGTTTCGATTTATCTATTTTCAGACCACTCAGCGCTGCTTTTGATTCTATGCTTAGGGCACTGAGTTCTCGATCACATGGTGGATGTCTTCCTATTAATTTTTTAGGTAGGAAACAGTAGACTATTTCTGAATGGGAAGTGCTCCATTTCTGTGCTGTTTTTGGGAACTGGTTTGTTTTGTTTTGCACAAATTAGTATATTCCTTTCTAACGCCAGTTTCATAAAGTGCGCTGATGTCTTGACAGTTTTCTCTTTCAACTGTTTCTGTACTAGGTTGTTAGGATATGAATAGCTTCCTATTTGAGGTTAGTCAACAGATGGCTATAAACTGGAACCCCATATATGTCAGACTGTTGATTTTAATTTCAGACGTGGAGAAGACCTGCGTGAACTGATTGAGTCATTATAATTCAGTCTTGTAATATTGACGCCACTGTCATAGGAAACAAATCGAATATTACCTATCTTGGTATCAGACTTTCATCAAATCTTTATTGGTCGTCTCAAATCTTGTTGTTGTCTAGGAAAATCTGTCATAAGCGAAGTTGACACCTCCTAGGAAATATCTTAACCTCTTCTCATACAAATAATTATTCTTTTTTATTATCCCCGCCTAATTCTCCCTTCTGGCCAACACCAACAGCAGCGACAACAACAGACAACAATCAGCATAAATGGAAGGAACCTGAAAGAAACAACCTCCTTCACCTACCCACCTACATAGGAAACATCGTTTCAACTACAGGCAGATGGAACTGACGAGGATATCAAAGCAAGTATCGGAAAAGCAAGACAAGCTTTCACTACTCTCAAGTGTGTGAGGAGGTCAGCAGCACTCAGCATCCAAAATAAGATCCAGATTTTCAACTCCAATGTGAAGTCAGTCAGTGCTACTATACGGATCAGAGACTTGGCCAGCGCGTCATAAAGAGCATCTCAAACAAACTACAGACCTTCAATAACAGTTGTCTTCGCTCAATACTCAAGATCAGATGGCCAGCTAGAAAAGATCAGCAACAGGGATCTCTGGCAGTGAGCGAACCAACCAGGAACTGATTGTGCAACAAATAACCAGGAAGAAATGGAGGTGGATTGGATTGGCCATACTCTGAGGAAACCATCAAGTGACATCACTAGACAAGCCAGTGCTCGAGTGGAGCCCGAAAGGGAAACGGCGAGTGGGACTTTCCAAAGGTGACATGGAGGAGATCATGTGAAGAAGAGTTGAAACAGTATGGACTAACATGGATGCAAGTGAAGAGTACAGCAGAAGACGTGTAGTTGAAGTCCTATGTTCCACTAGGAACCCAAGGGAACCATAATAATATAAGAATAACTATTTGCACCATTTTTTAAAATTCGCTTTCTAAGATATAATTCAATCTTATGATTTACAAAACGTCTTCTTTCATATCGTTGGAGCATCCATTTTACCTGCAGCTTTCCCCCCTGCATCTCCTCAACACAGGTAGAACAGGCAAATATTTCAAAAACTTTACCTGCGCACGTCTAAGTATTAAAAATTCCACTATAGCATATTTGGCACGTATTGTTTTTATGTGATGAAAAATAGTGTCAGACTCGAACGAACTAACTAATCTTCTTTCCACTAGTAAATAAACAATTTCCGCCATTCTTATACTAACCGGGTTTATTGCTGTTATTATTCCCCTTATATTTATAGTCCTGTCATTTTTCTCATTATTGTAAACACCGTTTGAGCTCTGTAATAATAATAATAATTTTTTGTTTTTCCCTACACCATGTTATGTCAAGAGGATATTAGATTCAATATTCTATTCTACATGCTACGATTTCCCTATTCTATATCGGTAGCAATTGTTTTAAACAAACTTGTTTTTATTATTTCTATTGTTATTATAGTTATTATTCTCAATACTTTATACTTTGCACATTTTCGACATTATTCCTACATTAAGTGTGGAAACATTTCTATGGTTAATTTTATTTATATTTCCAGTAAATGAAATGCAGCATTGTGACAAATGCTGAAAAATTCCATGTTTTATCGTAAATACTGCTTTTAGAATGAATTAATTAAATTCGTGCTAATTACATTTAATGTAGAGTTAGTTATACAGAAACACTGATCACATGAAAGCAGAAATTTCTTTTTTATTCCTTTACGTTCCCGGTGGAACTTCAAGCTAGAGCTCTGGAGTTTCACTAGCACTGATGGTGGTTGCAGATACGCCTTGCTGACTGATGATGAGTGCCAGCTAGTACGAAACCTAGGTCCAGGCAAGGCTTCCTGTGGCCGATTGCCTCCAATTATCTAATATTATCAAATCAATGTGCATCGTGATGGCTAGCTACCTAGTGGAATGGTGGCCACATTGCAAATACCTAACTGATAGAATTCAGTCTGCACCAAAGAAAGGAGACTAGACACGTCGCACTAGTTACTAGTGTCCAATGAAAGTGGTGTTTATTTTTACGGGATCGGGCTGCTAGTCTCATGCTCAACCTCCCCTCTTTACCAGCCTTATTAGTAGCTTAACGAGGTAGAGGAGTGCGCAGTGGGCGACATTGGGACCACAAATCATTTGCGTGGTTGACGACCACTGTACCACCAACGCTTTAAACCTGGGAATACAGGACAGTTTTTCCTCCATCCTAGTTTGGGACTCTTCAGCAGTACGCACCCACCACCAGGGTTTGAACCCGGGACATTCTGGTTACAAGGCGAGCTAGCTCGTAGACCATTAAGCCACTAGGACTCTAAAGCAGAAATCACATTGTCACAATTCTTCCCGTCTCTCAGGGAAACAATACTATCTATTTCTAACTGAATAAGTAGTGTCACTGAACCCGGAGTTATGGTATACCGCTGGTACATATTTTTTGAAAACAGCTAAAAAATGTCCTTGTACACCATGTGATGGTTTTGCAAATGCTGCTGTCTTTACAACTCTATGCAATACCTATCCATAAAGGGACCAGAATTGTTTACACGGTAAACCTGGGCATAATCATGTCCTACATATCAAGAATTGACAGTTTTGTCACTGAACTGGAACAAAACACATAACATTTTTGATTCATCTGACAGACTGATTGGCTAACAAAAGAATTTCATGGGAGATAACCTAAGTGACAGTGAAGAAACACACCGGCAAAATATAGGTACTTGTAGGTCGTGTAGAGGCATTTTGAATTTTCTTTCACTTCAGCACTGAAGAATCACTTGACGCCTTTTAATCAATGAATCAATCAGTCAATCAGAAGTAGGACTAAGCTTCCCCCCCTCGTAGCGAGTAGAAAAGACAACCTAAATTAGGCATTCAGTTATTCAGTTATTAAAACAGGCCAGGCAGCCAGTCATCTAAGTAAATCAATAGGAATGTTATTGTGAATAACTTCAAACAAGAAAGATTAACCAACCGTGAAGAAAACAAAATATATACTATTTAAATGACGCGGCTATTTAAAATACATTACGGTCGTATCCTAGCAACATGCCGGATACAGTTGAACAAAGAGCAAGAGCACGTAAAACAAATAGCAATACACATATGCAAAGTATTTAGCAGAAATAACTTTTAGGCTAATTAATATAAAAGTCAACTAAATTCTTCAATTTGAGAATATCCAGTACAGGTCAGCAACTTGAAATACCTTAGAATGATGTCATAAGTCTAGAGGGGGGGGGGATAAAGAACTACAGTGAATAAGCGTCAATTTAACAGACATTGAAACATTTTCTGATAAATCTAGAAAAGATGAACAACTTACCACCTGCAGGAGGGACAAGTTGATCTAGAAGTTTGTTACTTGTTCTCTTCCAGATTTTCTTAATTACAGCACGAAGTTCTTCATTGAGTTGATCAATTGCTGCACCTTTTGAGAGTAATTTAATGAAAGTTTTGAAAGGGATTGTTTGGAAATCCAGATTGATATGAATAAGTAAGATGGTTAAAGTCGGAATGATTATCTAATTCTGCTTTAACAATTTAATATTGTAAACAACATATTGTTATTATACGAATAGTTGTACACCAGTTTCACTATACAGCAAAGCTTAATGCATAGTGTGAAAGGAGATTTTTATCATATGGTGTGAATTTCATTTCCGGACGAAATTCCAATAATATTGACGTCTTCAATTATCTACATACTCAAACTCTATGAGTTACATTTCTCTACGTGGCTCGCCATCATGGTGCATTTTGGATTGTTGTTATTAGACGGTTGAAGGGAATCAGCAGAAAATCCTGAAAAAAGGTTTTGTGCTTGTTGGCACTTCTCAGTTATCAAGACATATCTGAAATCTTGAAGGAGATTATATCCCTTCTAAGATTCAAACCTTTGTCAGCCAGTGATGCAATCAGGGATGTTACCATTGGATTATTTGGACTTGTGGTTGACCTACTGATTGGTTGTAACTGATGACATGCGTGTAGTCCTTTGCTTGGTATATACCGAATTCTATCAGTTACGTTAGCAATGTAGCAACGTCTTTGACTACGACACTGGGGTATACGGGTTAGAATCTCAGAGGGGACATGAGTTCCTTCAAGATTTCAGATACGCCTTGCTGATTGATGGGTGCCAACAAGCATGAAACATAGGTCCAACGTTTCCTACCGATTACCATCAACCATCTAATAGGTGTCGCTAAACACTGGACCATTGCGGTCAGCTGATGCATCAGGTGTTGATACTATCTGAGCCAGTCTTCAGTTAGCAGGTTTTCATTGAGTTTCTGAATGTTGATCGAAGATAAAATGAAAATCTGATTCGTGCCAGGACTTCAAGTAGACTGCCTCCGCATTACTATTATGGCGCTCTATCTAACCCCGACTTCATTTTAATGCAATCGACATTGGAATCTAGAATTTTCTTTTTTAAGCGACCCCTGATGGCATTTATCGCTTCTCTTTAACGTCGAATACTATGAGAAAATTCGAACTATAGACTGTGATAATAAGTGTGTGGAACACAGCATTTCACTTGGACAAATTATTTTGGTGATAATAACTACTATTCTATAAGATACCTGTTTCGTCCCGGTTTGGGGCTCTTCACAGGTACGCACCTATTACCTCACTAATCTGGGACTGAACCCAGGAGTTTTGGGTCACATATTCACTTCGCTGACCATTCAGACGCTGAGGAAGGATTTCAGTGTTCCACGGATTTTAACTTTGACCAACTCCCGAAACATGGCGCCATGAATGGCCGATTTCGTCGATCAGTAATTGTCTCTACAATCAACCTTATAGTCCCTGAGAGTCACGAGATGACACAAAATGGCTGTCCAGTATTCCCAGGGTTTTTAACGATTCACTAACCGATATCAATCCGTGGTCCCTGCAAAACGAACTCGTAAAAAGTGACAATTCACTATCATCGTTAATATTTACCTTCAGTTTTTATTTTCAAATTTGTTCGAACCAAAGCAAAGAGGGTTGCATTGAACATTACTGTCCCATCACTGTTCAATGGCATATTCATGCGTACCAATGTCTAATAACAAAGATAAAGGTGGAAGAAGAAGAGCGGTTAAGAAACTGGAGAATAAAGAAGCTTATAGTTAATTTTGTACAAAAATTAAAATCAGTTCAGCTAACACATAGTTATATATGTCCAAACCAAGTTAACTTTTAACAGTTTGAAAAAATATCGGGCATTGTGTATGTGATATTCATTATAATGAAGGTTTTTGTATTTCCCAATGAATGAAAAACAAAACGATATTACTGTTTTTACTGGCGTTTCGCTATTTAATGCTACTGCCAATAGCTTTATCAAAGTGATATTATCGAACCAGAATTTACAAAATCCACTCAGCATGTATATAAAAAGAGTTAAGAGGTGAGAAAATAGACTTAGAGACATATTGAAAGTCAAAATAACAATGAAGATCGCTAAACCAAATAACAAAGGTATTAGTACATCTGTCATGGTATCAAAACAAATTTTACTAACTTGATCATCGTTCGTCAGTCTGGGGTCATTTGTCGTTGTCAAGTTGGTCGATTGGTAAAGATAACAAAACCATGTGTAGATTGTTGGATTTGATCAGCGTGTGTTTACATAATGAACTTGTATATCACATTCGTGTTGATTTTGTTATTTCATGGGAGAGGGTGGTGTTGTAACCAGGTCAGATTCTCTTTTAGTCCATCATTCCTATACAGACAATTTGGATTCCACTTAATGATATGAAGTGCTTCTGATGATATTAGAAGTTCTTTGTGATTCCTGAAATGCTTTTTCTGGATTCTTTCAATATTGTCAAAATCAATTTTGTGGCCTGATTCTATAGTAGCGTGTAGACAGATCTATGGCTGATGATTTTTCAAGCTTTTATAGTTCACTAACTGGATTTCTCGGTGGTCGAACAGATGCTCTACGGTGTTCATTTCTTCTGATTTTGATTTCACACTGGAGATGTTTGTCCAATGTGTTTCGCTTCACATTCCAAGCGTTTTATTTTATAGACACAATTAGATAGAGAATCTTTAGGGATTTGGTCTTTTGTATGAACAAGGTTGTTTCGTAGTGTGTCTGATGTTTTGAAGAAAACCCTAGTGTCGAGCTGATTGAATACTCTTCTGATATCACCTGACGTCTCTGCTCTATATGGAATGACGACTGTTGAGGTCCATGTTTTCGGAATGCGTTTTCGACCATACTTGTGTTGATTTTGTTGATGAAGTTCCTTGGGTAGTTGTTTTGCTTGAGAGTCTCAGAAATGTTTGATATTTCTTCTTCTTTTCCTTTCTCAACCGTTATCAGAGAGTGTGCTCGTCTAAGGAGAGTTGAAACAACTTTTACCTTTGCGCTGATGGGGTGTGACGATCCAAAGTCTAAATATTTATTTCAGTGATTTTTCTTTCTGAATGTAAAGATATACTAAAATGTCCTTCCCTTCTCTTAACTAGCCAGACAGTCTAGAAATGGTAGTTCACCGATGTCTGATTCTGCATGCTTGTGAAGTAAACTGGATTCTGAAAATGTTATCTTCGAATCTATTCATGAAAGATCAGTGACTATTGGGGAAACTGGTGAACCTATAGCAAGACCATTTGTCTGTCTATATAAACTCCCTTTAAATGTAAAATAATAACTTTCTAGACAGAATTATAAGCTCTTAATTATTTCACTGATGTCCAGTGGACATCTTTGTGATAGCGTTGTATCTGATTCTAGTAGACTGGAAATGATTATTATTGAATTTTCATGAAATTAAGCCGTTGTAACTTAGTCTATATATCGCAACACCCTAATACGCATTGGATGAAGCAGGTGGCGCCACTTCGGAGAATGGAATATGTCATTATAGTTGCCCTACCTGGAATGGTGACTATCTGATTGACGACAAAAAAACACTGCAAATACTGGATGATCAGGTTTAATAAAAGCTAATCTACACATTACATCGATGAAGTCTGGCTAACTAGAATATCTCCGACAAAGTTTCATCAACAGATACGATAAGAAGGAATATAAACGCATCCAGACAAAATTACAGTCAGCAAAATCGAAAACCGATTTTCAATTTACTTGACTTTAAGTGGTGATAACCAGGATGTATGCTGCAGCAAAACTAGTCTCTTTACTCGAAAAAAGTCCTGTTCGTTGGCACAGTCAAAAATCCAACAAGCACCACTTACATATTACCTGCAGCTGTGTACATCAAATAACGTGTATCTGTGGGAGCAGTTAGACATTTGGACAATAAAAAGAAGAGCCATGCATCAAATAACCTTCGATTTAAGCGACTAAATTGTTTCAACTTGTCAATTAGCAAACACATGATGATAGACACAAGATACCTCCTAATGAGACATCTTGGGAACATTTGGGAAAGCTAAGAGACGATACATCCTAAATCTTCTCAAGTTTGCTAAAGCAATCTCTATCAGACACATGTGAGAAACTCAATTTCTGTGTTCAGAAAGAAGCAGTTTTCAGTCTTTCCTCGCCTTGGTAACTGGGTGTCTTAATTCTCTATTTCATTTGATTAAGTAGTCCTTGGCCTTAACCTCTTGTCTTTATTACGCAACTCGTTTACCACTATATACACACACATTGATTTCTGTTTAAAATTGAACCATCTGTCAACTGATATCATGTAGAAATTACAAGTATGTTGAAATCGTTTCTGCGAGCAGCTGATGAGAAGCTGACGAAATGAACAATGAACAATGAACCATCTTATTCTGCACAAATTTCTGTTCTCACTTTATTCAAACTTATTAAGGGGGAATAAATGTATGGAAGTATTCTTCAGTTTTTCAAAAAGAATCCTTCCTGGGATTGCAATTATTCAGATAACTCCCACCTAGGCAACATTTTTATCTTCTGATTTCATCATTTCGGTCAGCCTCCCAACATTTTTAGTTTAACTTTCATATTTGATTTAATTTTTGATCCTTTGAGTTGTACTCACTGTATTAAATCATCGTCTTTTCATTCGAAGTCGAAGTCAACAGAAATCTCTGGGAGCGAACCAACCAGGAACCGATTGTGAAACAAATAGACTTTATCAAAACAAAATTTACCCATAATGGAATTACACTCTACCACAGTGCACAAGTTTTATTCTTATATCAATGATAGAAATGGAGATGGATTGGCCATACTCTGAGGAAACTATCAAGTGACATCACTAGACAAGCCATTGCTCGAGTGGAACCCGGCCGAAAAGGAAGCGGCGAGTTGGTCGTCAGTGCAAGGGTGACTTGGAGGAGATCATGTGAAGAGGAGATGAAAGCGTGTGTGGGCAGACTTGGAGCCAGGTGAAGACTCTAGCAGAGAACCGAACGCAATGGAGACGCACGACTGAAGCCGTATGTTCCTCTAGGAATTAAAGGAAATAATAATTATAGTAACCTCCCATCTCCATTTCCTCCTGCCTATTTGTTTCACAATCAGTTTCTGGTTGGTTCGCTCCCAGAGATCTCTGTTGCTGATCTTTTCTGGTCATCTGATCCTGAGTATTGAGCGAAGACAACTGTTAATGAAGGTCTGTAGTTTGTTTGATGTGCTCTTTATGACGCGCAGGCCAAGTCTCTGATCCATATAATAGCACTGACTTCACATTGGAGTTGAAAATCCGGATCTTATTTTTCCTGTTGAGTGCTGTTGACCTCCACACAAATTTGAGAGTATTGAAAGCTTGTCTTGCTTTTTCGATCCTTGCTTTGATATCCTCGTCAGTTCCACCTGTAGTTGAAACGACGCTTCCCAGGTAGGTAAAGGAGGTTGTTTCTTTCAGGTTCCTCTCATTTATGCTGATCGTTGTCTGTTGTTGTTGTCCAAGAATCTTCATCACCTCTGTTTTCTCTATGTTCACCTGAAGTCCTTCACATCTTTGATTCTTCTTCTGCCAACTTGTTACTTTTCACTTGCATATCTTCCAGTTTGTGGGAAATCAGACATATATCATCACGGGCGAATTCCAGATCCTCCAAGTTTTTTGTGTGAGTCCATTTTATGCCTGTTTCCTGATTGCCCACTGTTTGTCGCATTATCCAATCTACTGCAATCAGGAAAATCATTGGCGATAGTAGGCAGCCTTGTCAGTCTGATGATGATAATCATTTACGATTATATCTGTTTGTCTGTGTTGTTGTATTGTGTATTGTGTATGTGTGTGACAAGGTGGTCACAAAATACAATTGTTTTTAGAAAAAAGGAGATCAATGTTTACATATATATTTCAAATATGCACACTTTAACATTCATAGACAAGGTCAAGTCAAGGTGAGCAATAGTTGAAATTTCATTAAGAGAACAAAAAAAGAAAAACAAACAAGACACAAGCTACCAACCCCACCCCATCCCATTCAATCAATACACACATTCATTTGACCTGAAGAATAGTAGTTATCTATTATATTGGTCAGGATACAATTATTTTTCATATACATACCGTTTCTTTTAAATATATTTCTGTGAAAAAGAAGGTTATTGATTGTTGCAGTAGTAGTAGTAGTAGTCGTTTGAACCATCTTGAGACTAGTTTCAATCGATCGTTCTGAATAAATTACACTTATATATAAATGTAGACAACAGCCTAACAGTATTGAAAGAGAATGATTTTTTCTGTGAATAGAAAGATATTCTTTACACTTCAAGTTTGACAAAAACTTGTCTGCACTAGTGGCTGGTATATGTATAAAACTTGGGCACTGCGGTGGTAGAGTATAACTCCATTATGGATAAGATTTTATTTTGATAAATCACACAGTGTTGTTATACAGTAATATTAACTGATGACCACGTTTCGAGCACAAACTATTGCCACTCATAATCATATTGACTTACTCACTAACACAACTTTTTACTTCATTTATATACATGAGTGGAAGTGATGATTAGACATTTGAATAAAAATCAATCAATATGGGATAATGTACATTCAGAAATAATAATAATATGAGTGTTATTGATCAAATACAATCAGATGGGAAATAAGATGTTTTTATCGTAAAATAAATAAGTAACTTGTTAGA